GCGAAAGCTTCGCGAGTCTTGCCTTCCTCCGGGTCTCTTGCATGCTCTGCGCTTGCCGCTCCCGGAAGAGCTCCGCCTCGTACACCGTTCGCGGCTTTACCTGCTTCCCATGCGGCCCCATGGTATGGTACTAAAGGGCGTCCTTGCCATGACGGTCGTCTCCGCGCGTAACTGTCAAAGCGCGGTAAGAGCTCAATTAGGTGCGGCTGTGATGGCGTCCTGTACCCTGATAAGTACGTCGTACAAAATCAAGTATAATGTCCATCATGTGACAGCACTTAACAGGGACAGCAAAATCGCACTTGACAGGACATGTTTCGCGCGATGCGATTGGCTGAGACCAATGAAACTGCGTTTTATTGGACAACAAATCTGGAATTATAGCCAATGGGTTGGCCGGATTGAGACACGACACGCCGAATTAATCCCCTGGGATGCTGGTACACCACGTAAACGTTCCTACCAGGACAACCATTGTGCTCGTCGCGATCACAACAATATCAATCAATGCCAGCTACTGCGACCGTCAAAATTCGCTGACAATCCCACTGCACCACTGCTACTGCACCACCCAGATTGGTTCCAACAAAACCGATCAAATACGATAATTACGTCTATTCAAACTTTATTTTTCTATATTACGGAAAAATAACGGAAAATGACCGAGAATACGACGATACAACGGTATTTCTACGGGAACATATGGAGCACATCTGTGGGTGCGAAGTAAAAGATGACGTTGTCTGATTCGTGACAGGGTTCCAATTTACGGCCACACACAAACAATGCGGGTTCGCTGTGTCATCTCACAACACAAAACACCGCTTCTCCGGCAAGTTCTCCCAAATGTCTACTGCCGCGACCTCCAGCTCCACCCCGTCGCCTGATGGCCACTGGACCCCGCAACGTGATGTTGACTCGACGTTCGCCAACTTTTCGTTCGACGTCGACAGCGTGTATGTCGATGACTTTAACGCCAAAACCATCGTGACGAGCGCACTCGTTTGGCTTCGGTCTGTCTTTGCCAACGGCAATGCCGGCATGTCAACGGCCAAGGCACTCTGAGCTGCTAACACTCCACCACTAACTTTATTTTGTGTAAATACACTTACACAATCGCATTGTGGCGCTTTTCATAGAGCCGAACTTGGAGACATTAATTAGTCTAGTACTTTTGACTGCCCAAGCGCCCAACCAAAGTCCTTGTTTAAATGAGTCTACCAGTTACGGTATTTTATCGTACCAAATGTAGCCATCGTGGAATCTGGGGTGCGTCAGGATAAGCTTAGGTGCACCATGGGCCCATGGCCGCGCGAGAGCAAGGCGGCAAAAAGTCGCAACTTCAACCACCGACGATGTCTATCGTTGACGCGACAGAATCTGCGACTGCTTTGTACGTGGATCGGGACTTCAATCATGTACGCACTTGCAGTTCGAGAAAACGTGCGTGTCTCTTGCTCGCACGCTCTGCTTTCAAGCATAAATCAATCTCATTCATCAACATGCCTGCTTCCACAACTACGACCACAACTACGACCACAACAACAACGCCGCCCCGGGCTCCAGAGCCAATCAAGTATAGCTACGGAGACGACGATGCGATTCTTCTCGACATTGATACATACTTCAAAGAATCCAAATTCGACCTGCCACTGGACGTCGGGGCAGCCTCGCTCCTCCTCGTGGGTCTCGAGTACGTCACGAGCTTCTGTACTGGCACGCTTTCAACATCGTCGTAACGACATCGTTTCACACACAGCTATCTAATGAGCGCTCCGGTGTTCTTCCGTAATACACAATTCCGTTCTCTCCTCTGGCGCGACTTTGATGGCAATCCTCTGAGTTCTCCAGATACGTTAGCGCAATCAGCACAGTGCGATGGACACGCAGATCAGATGCAACCGGTCAATGTTGAAAAGGACAGCCCAATTCGTGTTGATTTTCTACTTTGAGTGAAGTCGCGTTGGACTTGAGCAATTGACCACCGTCGATAACTTGGTCAAAATGCATTCTGCATTCTATTTCGATTCGGATGACTAGGATCGCTTCCTCTTGTCCAGATCTATCGTTATTCAGTGGATTCTAATCCTTTTTAGCCTCTCTTCAGTTGCCAAGTCAGTTGTTCGTTTTGTCGGTTTCGACATGGGATGAGTGCACCGTATCATGTAAGAGAGATCTTGGGCAGAACCTTTCATCGTCGCTTGTGCACGCAGATTTGCCTCGAGTGAGCAACATGGACGGCGGAAGGACGGTCATTAGGATTGCAAGCGAGCCGCACCTCTTATCAAGCAGAGTTTTGCAGAAAATACTCTCGACATCTCGATGTACCTCTGCGCTAATACTCTACTCCTCGTCGACTCGATCGATTCATTCCTGATCTGGATTAGCTGTCCCGTTTCATGGGGACGGATCAAAGTGTGGGAAACTTTGCAGAGGAAATTACAACTCTACAATACGCTATCGGTAGTCGAACTCACAGCAGCCACTCGCTTCAATTGCTCCTGATTGCGACCCACGGACAATCACACGCAACATGTCGAGCATATTTTTGTATACATGCTACAGATATATAGGCGCAAAAGACAAGGAGTGTTA